TATCAGCCAGCCATAGCAGGGATCCCACTCACAAGCTCGGAACTGATCGGGACACAGTGATTTCTTCTACAGTAGGGACGCGAACCTCTTGCAGATCTTGGACTGTGGCGAGGCCAGGGGGGCTCCACAGTTCCTTGAGCAGGTTGCGCCACCGAGGCAGCACTCATCGTGCTCTGCAAACGGGCGAGCATCCCTCCCAGGGCTGCGCCACCGAGGCAGCACTCATCGTGCTCTGCAAACGGGCGAGCATCCCTCCCAGGGCCGCCTGTCCTCTCCGCCCACCTCGGTTCCCACTCCACCCTCTTTTAGCAGATGTTAGCCAGAAATAACCCCAAAGGACCGCTTGGCAGAGATGTGGGTAGTCTTGCCCGCAGCTTGCGGTCCAAGCCCCGAAAAGGCCTTTCTCAGAGTGCATTGGTCCAGCCTGTTGTCACTCGGCTCAAAGGATTGTGGGTAATGTAGTTTCCAGAGCTCCGCGGCGTTGATGCAGGCAAACCGTAGGCTCTGCAAGCTGCTAAAAGTTTTAAGGGCAATAGCCGGTCCATGGAGCCCCTCAGGGTCGCGATAACCAACTTTCCGGTTCGAGTTCTGGTACTGTGTGATAAAGAGATCCGAGGCGTCATCTCAAATAGTCCTTAACTCCGGAGCCTGGGGTTAACCCCTCCCTTAGAATATCTAGGGTCGGGGGAACTGCCAACAGAAGGTGCCCAGAGTAGGAAAAACGAGTGACCTAGAAGTATTTGGCTCACAGGGCATCAATGAGACCAACCAAACCAAACGACAACAAAAATCTTGAGTTTTGGAATTTCTTAGTCTCTTCCTATGAACAAAAGTAGACTCCTCTCCCCCCCCCCCCCCAAAAGTAGACAAATTAGAGCCGGATGAGGGGCTGGGTCTCTAGAAGGAGAAGCTGGATTTGAAGTCATGTGTAGTTATTCAGTTTGTAATGGACTCGGCTGTGCATTACCCATACAATGGCATTTTGAAGCCCTCTCTCATCTCCGGGCCCTTACATTCATTCCTTCTGGTTCCTATTCACTAGCGTTTCCTGAGCACTGCCGGGAATAATATAAATGTCTTATTTAGGGCGGGACACTCAATCTTTTTCTTTTTAATTCTATTTTTTATTTCTTCCCGTCCCTCTCTCTGCGTGTGCTCACGGAGGGCAGAAGAGGGGTGTGAGAGCCCCCGGAGCTAGCCAAGGTCAGCCATAACCAATCTGACACAGGTGCTGGGAACTGAACTTGGTTCCACTGGAAAATCAGTACAAGCTCCTGACTACTGAGACACCTCTTCAGTCTCTAAGGTTTTCTAGAGTCCTTGTTTGGAGGTTCTAGAGTAGTTACTCATATATTCTTGATCAAAGATTGCTCCTTCTCTACCAGGGAATGTTTTCCTTTTGGATCAAGCTCCCAGCTTCAGGAGGGACATGCATGGAACAGCAAGGGAGGGAGAGAACACTTGCCCAGCCCGCTATGTCAACCCTGGCGATCAGAAGGGTATGTTGTAGCCAGACTGCCAGCGCATTCTGAGAGCATTTCTTAATGCGAATCACAGTGGACTCAATCAGTTTAGACAGGTCTTGTAGTTTTTTTTAAATGTAAAAGTTACCTTCATCGAAGTCACTAGTATAAGTAAAATATACTTTCCAAAGAACTGTACACCTATGCTCTTTGTAGGTTCACTAATAGCCTTTAACTGGCAGCAAGCCTCGTGATCATTACCATATGAGCAAACAGTGACTTGTCCACAGAACAAGATTCTGCTTAACAATAGAAATACTGATGTGTTCCTGTAGGCAACAATAATGAATCCCAAGCCAAATACCCAATATATGCAGATAATTAGAAAACAGGCAAACACTTCATGATTCCCTTTGAATAAAAATCTAAAAAGTACTAGTCAAATTAAACCATTATGAATGAAAGCTCGTCACCAGATACCTGAAGCCCCGTGGAAAACAGATTATACAAGAGAAGAGAAATTCTGGATAGAAACATTATTGAGATCATGATGCCTGTATGGATTTATAAACAGTTCAATGCATATACCATAAACATGATCACGTAAACGCACGTCTGTTATATGTCAGCACGTTAGTTCTGCGTAACTGGAGGACTGATTTCCGTTGGTTCAGTTTGAAAGTGTTTCAGTCTATCTTACTGGGGAAACTGGGGGTGAGGGTGGGGGTGGGAGTGGGGCGCACCTTAGTTCAAGGCAACAGAAGCACATGGCGAAGGCTGTTGCCAACATGGTAATAAGCAGAGGGGTAGCCAACACAGCTAGGACAGTGGTTCTTAACCTTCCTAGTGCTGATGCCCTTTAGAGCAGTTCCGCATATGGTGGTGACCCCCAACATAAAATTATCGTGTTGCTACTTCATAACTGTAATTTTGATCCTGTTATAAATCATAAATATCTGTTGCAACCAAATATGCAACCCAAAGGCCCACGGGCTCAGAACCACTTACCTTGGGGCTGGGTATAACCTTCAAAAGCCCTGCTCCTAGTGACCAACTCCTCACACCTGTGCCTCATCTAAAGACTCTACGGTCTGTCAAAGTAGCATCACTATCAGGGAAGCAAGTTTGTAAAGCATGGGAGGCATTTCAATTCCAAACCTCAAAATTCCGTTCCTGGCTCCCCAAGGCTCATCGCTATCTCATGGTGCAAAAAAACGCACTTAGCTCCACTCCAAGGGTCTTCAATCTTAGCAGTTCCCATATGCTTTAGAAGCTCAGAGTTTCTTCTGAGATCAAAGGTAAACTTTTTTTTTTTGTTTTGAACTTATTTTTGATTTTAATTGAAATTAGCTATTTCTCTTCCTATAAAAAGATCATACTATTTGGCGGTATTAGAAAACAGTGATTTATCTAGTTTCTTTTCATTTTCCTGGGGACTAATGGGATACAGTTTTAGTCAGACGACCAAAATTAAGAATTGTTATCTGATTAGGACACTTGATTAACTTGATTATGGTGGCTTCAATGACAATGTCTTCGGTTTAGTGTAACAACCATTTTTGTCAGACTGATCCTAAACGTGGGCTTTTCTACCCTTTTACTCAGGCTTTTGAAACTATGGATTTCTGAATCATGGCTCTAGTTTTTTCCTCCTCCTCCTCTTCATAACAAAGGCATCTTTGGGAACAGCACACATTCTTTCCTGTTAAGTCTGTAATATAAAAATATTAATGATAACCAAGAAGGCACTCAAGAAAAGTATGACTTGGGATATTAGTAAATGAAAGGTCAACTCTTAACTGAGCCAAATAAAACCAAAAAGGTGGTTATGTTCAGTCCCAACTACAACGGCACACGGTAACATTCCTATTTCAAAAGGGAAGAAATGGCCATAGAAGGGAAGGGACTAAGAGGAGAACAAACAACAAACAAAAACCTGAATGGAAAATACTAACTATAAATCCTGCAGCCGCACTTCCGGGATCAGGCTCACAGGCTGCTGTCACTGAGGTTCAACAGACTTGGGCATGCCTACCCCTAAGGCCTTGCTATTTGTAGCCCCTGTAGCCTCTATTGGACTGGTTCCACTTGGTGCTGGCAGTTTTCCTTGGCAGACACCCCACGTTCCTGACAGACACCATGCAATTAATTCAGTCTGAATTTCCCAAGCTCCCCGTCAGAGACGCTTGAGGAAACGGACCTTGTCACACACTAGTTAGCATCAGAGGCTACTCGTTGGAATTGGTGGAAGCCTCCATGACATCATACCTTCCC